TTAACCAAAGAGGCTGTTTGGGAACTAAGTGAGATAATGTCTCTTAAAAGACTCTCTTAAGTTTCTTACAGATGTTGAAACTTAGAATCCCCCCCACGTGGTGCTACAGCCTTGAGCAGCCCCTCTTCTGGTAAGACTTGTTCGGGAGTCAGACCCAATGGAGGAGGACATTTCATTCACCTTCCCAGTGTCCTTCTGAGACTGCCTAGAGCCATGGTCAGGAACTGCTGTCCTCACTGGCAGAAGGCATGGCTGAGAGTGGACACCTCCCCCTAATGTCCCTGGGCTGCTGAGTAGAGATAAGCTGAGTTGTTGGTGTTTGTCCATTCTCCGTTAATAACTCCGGGTGCTAGATGCAACTACTTTCTCCTTAAATACCACACATCCTGGGGCTATTAGTTCTTGAAAACCCTGTGTCAATAGAATGTTCCTGGTGGATCCAGCTCTCCCTCCTCCCTATCCCAGGAGGAGTAACCAAGTGGAGATTCCTGCTGGCTTTTGGCTGGAGGAAGGCCATGTCAATCTCTTACTGGACCAGGGGGGCTGCCTCTGGAGACTGAGGAAATTTGCTGCCTTTTGTCATGCTTCTGCACAGGTCATTGCCCCCTTGAGTCTCAGGGACCCAGGGTGAATTGTATAGTGTTAAGACATTACAGGACATTTTTCAGAAATACTGTGTTTTGATCAATCATCAAGAAGTTGTTAGTTCCTTGGGAACACTTGTCTGTAAACTAAGATGGGAGAAGAGACTCAGACCCAGGTTATGGGTCATCTCGATGTTCTTGTTGCACTTGGAATTTTCTGAAGGTGTGGCTAGAATGGACTCTTCTCTTTCCCTAAAACTGTCCACCAGCCTGTGGGGACCACCTCTCATTTCACCCATATCAGGTGGTGCTCCCACAGGCTTTGGCTTTCACCGGGTAACAGGAAGACCCCAGGTGTATCACCTGGCTTTTCCTGCTGCCTGAGGAGGTGAGTAGAGAGGGGGCAGGAATGTGACAGTAGAAAGACTCCTCCCATGAGCGCTGATCTAGAGCTAAACTCGTGGGCAACTTGGATCATGGTAGCCAAGAAGCAAAACTCTTAACCTTTCTTGGCCCTTTCCCTGGATTTCTGGACCCTGTACTCACCTCAGAATTCTATGCTTAAAGGTTTTTTTTTTTTTTTTTTTTTGTCTCCTTTAAAAAAATATTTTTTTAGTGCTTAGTTTTTAAACATGTTTAATGTTTAAAAAATTTTTTTTAACGTTTCTTTTTGAGAGAGAGAGAGAGAGAGAGAGAGAAAGAGAGAATGTGAGTGGGGGAGGGGCAGAAAGAGACAGAGACACAGACTCTGAAGCAGGCTCCAGGCTCTGAGCTGTCAGCACAGAGCTCGACACAGGGCTCAAACCCATGAGCTGTGAGATCATGACCTGAGCTGAAGTCGGATGCTTAACTGATGGAGCTACCCAGGTTCCCCCCCCCCTTTTTTGTCTCTCCTAATGAGGAGTTAAATAATTTGTTCAATTTCTTCACACTAAAGTGGTAGGGGCTTGGTGAGCTATTCCTACCTTAGTTACAGTTTTTGCTTTTTAACTGAAAAGAAAGGATCTGACGTAACTCAAAACAAAGATGACCCGGTGGTGGGTTTTGAGACCTCCGAGATGGAGACATTTGAGGATTTCCCTCATTGTCACCTACCCGGGGCCCCCTGTTTCTCCATATTATGCTGACCTTGGTTTCCAGGAGATGGGCACTGATGTGGGCATCTCTGGTTAATGTACTGACATCAAGCATCAAGTTGTGTCTGCAGGGACTCTGGAGTGGTTGAAGAGCCCGGAAGCGGGCCTTTTGGGCTCCACGGTTTGGCTACAGAACCACCTGTTCCGTGGGCTTTGCCAGCTTTCTCGCTCCAGCGTTTGGGATACCTTATAGTTCATTCTGGTAAGGGCATTAGTGGCCTGATTCTCTACTCCTCATCTTGTAACTGGGGTGTGAAGGAGGAGCCGGGCTGAACTGATAACCCTTTACCCCCAGAATCTTGCTTGGTGCCTGACCTTACCAGATACTCAGTAAATGTTGTCGAAGTTCACTCTGAAGGTCAACGTTGGAGCTGATGAGGGAGCACAAGTTCGCCCAACCTGTGGTGCTGTGTCCTATGTAGGCACCCCGTCTATGTAAAGCTATAGAATTACATTGAGGTCCGTTATTTCTCACTGGTCAACAATAAGAAATAGAGTGACTGTCTAGACATTCATGATGGGATGGATTTCCCCAGATAGGATGTATTTATGTCTTTTGATTAGGGAGCTGTGGTGCCTGAAGCAGTACAAGAGTTGTGTGGCTTTAGAATCTGGTAACACCTAGTAGCTTCCCTGTCACACCTGGCTCAGCCCAGACCCTCAGGTAGGCGGTCTACAGCCCAGGGGACACCTGGTTGAATGAAGCTCAGGTGCTCAGGTGGGCTATCTCTAGTTCTGGGAAGAGGAGACCCCAGGACGCTAAGAAACTGACATTCAGGCATTTTCTTTGAGTACATACTCTTTGGAGCCTAAAATTTCACGTGGTTCAGCAGCAGATACAGTCAATCACCTTTTAACCTCATTCCTGTTTGTCAGATATGTTGACTGAAAGTCATTACCCACTTGCAATGCTTTTGTTTGTTCGTTTTTGCCATTCTTCCCGAAAGCATCATTTCTGTTAAAATCCGGCTTTTTCCGAAAAACCCTATCTGAGATTCCAGTTGAAGCTCAATCAGAATTATGCCAAGAAAGGTGAATTCTCTCTACAAGTCTTCTAAAAACCAAAGTCATAGCTCTTGCTGGCTTTTGCTGCTAAGTGTTATCATGTCCTTGGTGCCACATCGTTCTGTCTCGAGTATCGGAGGAGAAAATGCCGCCACCACACTTGGGTCACTCAGCTAGCCAGCTCAGCCCAGATGCCGAAGAATACTTCCATAGCCAGCCTCGTTAATGCCTCCCATGCATCTTGAACTCCCTGGTTGTATTTCTGTATGTTTCTGCCAGACCGTGATCCTCGTGGGTGTCAGCACCAGCTCATAGACAACTATTTTGGAAGCTTGCTTTTCCCAAGTGCTCTTAGCCAGTTACATCTGACACGGGCTCTTTAGTCTCCCCGGGGACTTTGAAGGGACAGTGGACTCTGCCCTCATTTTGCCTGTTGCCCCAGTAACAGAGGAATTCCCACCCCTGCAATGGTGCCCCACCCCCTCTGTAGACTGCTGTATCTGGTCCCAGGAAGTATTGTCCCTGCATTGCTGGGTCTTCTGAGAAGCTGGGGTGGCGGAAGAGGTGCATTTCAGTGTCTCTCTATGCTCCCCAGCCTTCTAGCAATTACTCTTGGCTGACTCTGCCCTTAGGAACTCTCCTTTCCCGTGGTTTCCTGACGGGGGCAATCATAAGGCAGCATCCTCAAGTATTTTCCTGGATTGGTTTCCTTCTGATATTCCTTTTATGAGGTTTTTGTTTTGTTTTGTTGTTTTATTTTTTTGTTTCTTTGTTTTTTTTTTTAAGAGTGTAAATGGTTTAGGAGTTGGCAGGGGTGAGTTACTCCATTTATAACAGTAACCACGAGGTGGGCCCCAGAGCCTGGGAAGAGTCTGACAGTGTTGACCGTGCCTGCTTTTTTCTGTGTCATTCCCTCAAATTCATTTTCATGATTGGCACCATGGTGCGCCACGACCCATTCCCTCTGTCCTGCTGTAAGTGGTTGTTGCAGAACAAGGCCTCTCTATCACTGATCGTGGCCCCAGGATAGAGCTCAACCCAAGGGTTGCCTGTGTTTTTTTGTAACCTTGAAATTATAACAATAGTTAACCTGTACTGAGGGTTTACCTTCTGTTCTGAAGTACGGTTCTGCTCAGTGCTTCACTCCCATTTTTTCTCTGCTCTTTACAACAGTCCTGTGAACGAGGTTCCTCTAGTGTCCTCCTTTTACGGAGAGAAAATATAGGCTCAGAGAGATCAAGCAACTTGCTGAAGGTCACACAGCTCATAAGTGCCAGGATTTAACTTTGCTTTCCCACTATGCAGGACTGCCTTATTCTGCCTCACCTTCATGTCTTTGTACACACTGTCCCCTTGTTCAAGCCTCCTTCCCTCCATGCTTCAGTGCCCAGCTCAACAACCAGCCCCTCTGTGGACACTCCAGACAGAAGTGAGTTCTTCCGTGGACTCCTATGTAGCTCAAAATCCTTACCATTCACCACTTTGTATTATGGTTCATTTTTGTGTCTCCGTTTCCCAGTTGGGCGGCACATTTTCAGAAGACGGTTCTTAGTGCACTTGACTTCCCATGCAGTGATTAGCATACATTCCCATATAGTACGTGTTCAACAAATCCTGGCTGTTGATGGTATTACTTTAAACTTGGGCCATTACCTATGAAGGCAGGAATGCATTTTGCTGAATTGATGTTGTGCAAAGCCATCTGAGCCTTTTACTAACATAATTCACTTCTTCCCCCTTATTTAATAGGTAATTTAGCTCTAAAACAAAGAAGGAATAATATCTAGCCATTTCCATGAAATGATTTATTGGAAACAAGAAAAATGGTTTAAACCAGCTCAAGTCAAACCTATAAATAACACTCAGTATCAACTATGTTGTCTGACTGGAAAAAACAGAATTCCCACTTTGAAACCCAATTTTGGGTTATTCCAAAACCAGGTCTCCCAAGGGCTCCCCATGCTGGGGGTTATGCCACTAGGCACAAACTCTTTTATGCCCCCCAGATTAGGGGTTGCCCCCCCTGCTAGTGGGCTCCCCTTCATATCTTTCCCTGAGTGCCACACATACTTCCTCTGCAGGACATGACTCACGGACATGATAACAGCAGCTTGTATTAAAAAAAAAAAATTATAGGAGCAACCTTTTTCAAACCTTCATCGTGCCTGGGATAGAATGAGTGAGTGAGAAATTGAGGCATTTTTATAGAGTTAAAACACAAATGAGAGACTCACCTAAGACATAATTAAAAACAAAACAAAACACCGCATTCTACAAATAATAGAGCCGTGATTATTAGTCATCTAAACAGATACCATTTTAGCAAATTGACCATTAATAATTACAACCAGAGGGAGACCGTGCATTTATTTTCATTTCCTCCCTTGCTCCAGTTACAAGCAGACAAGAAGGGCTGCCAGAGCTCCCCTGTGCCCAGGACTGTCCCAGGGATTGTGACGAGTCCCCAGATGTCCCTGTGCAAGTGTCATGTGTCTTCCAAGAGAAGACGAATTCAAAACAATATCGGAATAAGTAGAGACAGATGTGGCTCAAATCTTTAGGAGCTTCAGATGAAAGGACCCTGAGGTCCTGTGTCTCCCATAAAAGAGTTGGAGATAATCCATTAAATCCCAGAAGGGCTGGATGGGAGCGTCGTCTTTGGCTTCGAGAGGAGGTGTTCACGGTGGGTTTCACTGAAGAATTGTTGCTACTTGAAAGTGGGATAAAGGAGTTGTAAACCTCTGTCGTTGGCTTTATTTTCCTTGGTCATAACGTGAGTCACTCAAACAAGATTCCCTTCTGGATATAAGACTCTGATTTCTTTCATTTCATTATAAGGCTCCTGGAAAAACTGCGGTATATAGAAAACACAGAGAAAGCACTTGTTATATACGTATATATTTGTTGGACAGAACTCATTAGCACGCAGTCAATGACAGAACGTGTCTCCAGGCCTTTGGCTGGTACATCTGGAACAGCATTGCTGCAGAGAACAATTCTCTGTGAAGATCCCAAGGCATCTCCCTGTATGACAGATGTGTTCATGGAAAGCTGCATGTTAACCACATGGCCACATCAAGTCCTTTAAAATACACTAAAGGGGTGTTTTAGAACAGCAAATTCTATGACAAACTCCTTTGTAGAGAGAATTCTACTTCACAGTACGTGACGATGTGTTCTCTGTTTTGGTTCATATGAGCATTCACAGCTTTACTCCAGGTATTTTTTCTGCTCGATGGACTGTGCTAGGAATGCTAAGGGCACATGGGGGAAATGCAGCAGGTCAGGGCTCATGGATGCAGTGAGTTTTGAGAAGGCCACGGGAGGGACTGGTGGAGGTGGTCATTTGTAGACACCAGAGCACGTCTGGGAGCAAGGAGGCTGCTTTGGGTTCATGCAGTGGGTATGGGGACCAGCAATAGAGCTGGAAGTATAAGAAGTGGGGGCAACTGGAGGAAGTCTTTGGTGCTAGTCCTTGGCACTGAAGTGTGATTCATCAGAAGTTGAGAGTCCTGGGGGCATATTATGGTAAAAGTGGAGCTTGATGAACCAATACACATTTATTGAGTATCTGCTGAGCATCACCATCCCAGATGTTTACGCTTACTCCTTATAAAGAAGTATCGAAGAGGGGCGCCTGGGTGGCGCAGTCGGTTAAGCGTCCGACTTCAGCCAGGTCACGATCTCGCGGTCCGTGAGTTCGTTTCTCCCGTGTCAGGTTTCTTAAGGCTGATGGCTCGGAGCCTGGAGAGCTTCCGGGATCTCTGTGTCTCCCCCTTCTCTCTGCCCTCCCCCCGTTCATGCTCTGTCTCTCTGTCCCAAAAAAAAATAAAACGTGGAAAAAAAAAATTAAAAAAAAAAAAAAAAAAAAAAAAAAAAAAAAGAAGTATTGAAGATACCATCTCAAGAACCTTAACATCTGGTTGGAGAGGTGAGATCTGACAGGTCAGCTAAGAACAGAGGACCCTGACTAACAAAAATGAATTCAATAGGTTAAATGTCAAGGACCTGGTTTTTTGTTCCCGGATTAAAATGACCAACTAAGAAAATCAGAATTGGCGATATCTAAGAATTTTAGTTGATTCTGATCTCAGAGGAGTCAGCAGTACGAAATGGTTGCCAGAAAGCAAACACAGTCTCAACTTCATGAATAAAGGCTTTGTGCCCAGTGCAGGAGGGCCAAGGGACCTTGGCCCTCTGCACAGCTCAGGCCATCTGGTGCATGGCACACAGTTCTGGGCATGACATTTTAGGAGGCACGTTAAAAGATGGCAGTCCCTGTTGAGGGATTTGGCCAGGAAAGTGAAGGGTCTGGAAGAGTCTGGATATCATGTTGAATGAGAATCCTTTCGACCTTCAACAAACATGGATTGGGGGTCTACTGGCACTGTTGGATGTGTTAGGGGTTCAGGTTGAAGCTTGCCATCCTTGAAGACGAAGTTTAGGTAGGAAGGAACAAAAGAGTGAAATTTAAAACCCATGAAGTGGGGGGCACCTGGGTGGCTCAGCTGGTTAAGCATCAGACTTTGGCTCAGGTCATGATCTCGGGATTTATTAGCTCGAGCCCCGTATTGGGCTCTGTGCTGACAACTCAGAGCCTGGAGCCTGCTTTGGATTCCGTGTCTCCCTCTCTTGGCCCCTCCCCTGCTCTCCTCTGTCTGTCTGTCTCTCTCTCAAAAATAAACAAACATTAAAAAAGTAATAAAAAATAAAATAAAAAAATAAAACCAATGAAGTGGAAGGAAAGTTCTCAAGGGTAAAATAAAGCCCACAGGGTGGACGGGAGGTAGAATGGAGCCCCAAATCAAAGAACATCTTGATAACAAATAGAGCAGATGAGTGCTTTAGCCTTCCCATCTATACAGCAGCCTTGTGGTGAGATTTAAGTTGAAATTAAATGAGTAGCACACGTGGGAGCATTTTGTAACCGGAAAACATCCTTTTGAAGTGAGATTCTCTTGCTCACGTCGTGAGGTTGGTGTTCCTTGCAGAAGACCCTCGCCTTGGGGTGAATGGGCCAAGGTGAGCGACTCAGAAACCCTTCTCTACAGGTGCCAGCTGGTCTGTGAGGCACTTTCCCTTGGTCCAAGGCGAAACGAAACGAAACAAAACAACAGCAAAGTGAGAGGTGGAGGGGGAGTCGGGGGAGAAGGACGGCCACAGCCACGTAGTAAACTTTTCATGAATTCTGAGATTGTCTTTGAGGTGGTTTGCGTTTTTCTTTGCTATGAGAATGCTTTTTCTCATGATAGGATGGCATTAAGAGACTGTACTGTGTTTTCAAAACGTTGTTACTTGGCAAAATAATAAGTTGGCACTCTTTATGGGAAGACTGTGTGAGTCTGAAATTTTAAAACCGGGGAAACAGGGGCGCCTGGGTGGCGCAGTCGGTTAAGCATCCGACTTCAGCCAGGTCACGATCTCGCGGTCCGTGAGTTCGAGCCCCGCGTCGGGCTCTGGGCTGATGGCTCAGGGCCTGGAGCCTGTTTCCGATTCTGTGTCTCCCTCTCTCTCTGCCCCTCCCCCGTTCATGCTCTGTCTCCCTCTGTCCCAAAAATAAATAAACGTTGAAAAAAAAAATTAAAAAAAAAAAAAACCGGGGAAACATTGTCCAATTCTCTTTCTGACTCGAAGGCTGTCATTGATGTCCCGAATTGTAAATAAGTGGAAATCAGTGGTAGGCAGGGCAAATGCTGTGGGAACTCAGAAGGGAGAGTTGGCCACCTTCTTCCCAGGCAGCAGGGATGTTGTCTTGAAAAGGCAATCGCTGACTCAGGAGCTGGGCCCGGAGGGGTGTGCGTTCCTGGCGGGGGGAGGGGGTGGGTGGGCGCTCTGGGGGCTCCGAGGCCCGTGGCCTGGCTGCGGAGGAGCACGTATGCCTCCAGGACAGGCCTCTCGTGAATCCCGAGTCCCACTGCAGTGACCCAGCTTACTGAAATATCTGGGGTGCCGCTGGGGAAGCCGGCTGTGAGCGCATAGCACGGACACTTCATAGATGCCCTCTCTGTAGGCATCGGAGGCCTCCCATCACAAACCTCGGTGGATTTGCAGGTTCTCATCAGATGCGCCCTGGGGATCCTGGCTGCTGAAACCTTCAGACTGACTCCACTTAAACTTTGACAACCTGTGATACACAGGGCTCTTCTAGCTGTCCAGAAGAGCGACAGAAACCCACCGTGGGCGAACTTCGTCACAAGTACGGTTGCCCATGGCACAGGAGGAACAGGAACTTTGCTCTCAGGTCATGCTGGGTCGACCTCATGGAGGACCGCTTGGGTCGGGTGGCCATCTGTCCACCTGTGACCCTGACTGTAATTCTGATGGAGGAGGTGATAACGGCTGTCCTTTCAGATTTGTGCTGTACATCTGGGTGGGAGATGAGGAGATAGGACATCCCCCAGATTGGAGGGGCGGTGCTCTTACCCAAACTGGGGAAGGGGGGTGGGCTGATCAGACATTGAAAGTCCGTGATAACACGCTCGGGGAAGTTCCCTGCCTGGGAGGCATTAATACAGTGGACTCCCTCCTGGTGGGGCCAGTAATTAAAGCAGGATTTTTTTTTTTTTTTCCCCATTAACAAGTTGAGAGAAACAACTCTGGCTTTTGCTGACACAAGCAGGTCAGAGGCAGGGCTGTGTCTCTGGGCACCACTCACAAAAACTCCATTTCCTGGGGCAGCTGTCCTGAGCTGGAAGCTGCTTTTCAGAAAACGAGCATTTAAATTATCCTTTTTTTTTTTTTTTTTT